ATAAACAAATTTTACATTAAAAGGTCCTTTTATTTTCTTTAAGCATTAATCTTTTTCTTTTTGATTTGATTTTTCTTATTGATTTGATTTTTCATAGCTTAAATAACTACCACCCTAAATAAATAAATAAATTATAGGTAAATTTTTTTTTTAATAATATGCATTAATTTTTTAATTTTAAAGCACAAACAGATTTCTGTTATTCACTTTAAGATTGCTTGCATTTTTGCGGTATTTTCGTTTAGCTTTGTTTTGGCGCGAATTCTTGAAACGCACAGTAATAAAACGTGGTCAGTTAGTCAGAAAAATTTATTCTATCCGTGGACAAACAAGGCGTGCGACCGCACGCCTTTCCTGGGAAAGCCTGATATATATATATATATATATATATATATATATATATATATATATATATATATATATATATATATATATATATATATATTTATTTATATATATATATTTATATATATATATATATATATATATATATATATATATATATATATATATATATATATATATATATATATATATATATATATATATATATATATATATATATATATATATGTATATATAAGGGCTCGAATTAACGCAAAAAATACTAATTGCGAAAAAAACTTTTTAACCCCCCCTCCCTTAATACCCAAAAAGTAAAAAAGTAAGAGAAAAAGCAACATTACAATATCTAAACCATTTTAATTGGTCAAAGAAAACTATTTAATACGCTCATGCTGACGTTAAAACATGTGTTAATTTAAAAAAGTATTTAATTGTTAAGAGCTATAAAACAACATTAAAACAAACTGCAAAGTTGTTTTAAAAATATAAATAGCTTGGAATAATGTAAAACAAATTCGTGACGATGTTTCGTATTGATTTATACAGTTTATAAAATAAAATGCAATTAAAATAAAAGTAAGCAAATAAATAAAATTGAGCTAGTTAATAAACTAAAACAAAACTTCATATTTGCGCCTATAGACCTATACGAGTTTATAATCAATAGACCAAACAAGTAAAATCAAAGCAAAAAAACATTAGATACTACTTCTTTTATAAATTATCGTTTCCCGATCGAGCGTACTATTAAAAATTTAAGTATAATTAAGTTTTTCATTCAAAAGGTTTTTAAACTGATGTTTTCATTCTATTTTTTTTTTATTCTAAATGTTTTTCAAAAAAAGTGAAACAAAAAATTTTGTTTAATAAATCGAATTGTATTAAGTATAAGAATATGCTTAAATTATTTTTTTAGAAAAAAAAATTTTCGAACAGAAGTAAAATAATTTAAATTAATTTAAAATTTTCATAATTTTTATTTTAACTTGCAATTTGCAATCACTGCTTTGATGTTTGCAATAGAATGTTTCTACTTTTAAAACTATTTTCAAGAAAAAATATATAATTCAAAACGTTAACAAAATTTACGATTTACAAAAAAAAACTTTCATCTTCATTCTCCCTTGTTTCATCAAACTTTTTTTAAATTTTTTTTCAATTTCAAATTTCAATCACAAAATTATTTAAATAAGTGAATTCTAAGGCTAAAGTTCTCTTGTTTAAATAGTTTTCTTTTTAAATAAAATTCCTGAAAACAACTTGCGTATTTATAGAAAATGTTTATTCTAGATGTCGCTATAAATAAAATGAAAATATAAAAAAATGGTGTTGCACTTTTCATATTCTATTCGACAATTTTTGTTAAAATAATTACTAGTTAAAAGCTTATATTATGTTTTAACAACATGTAAGATCTAAATTGAAACATGCCTATGGCTAACTTTTGCGAGTATATTAAATAAATTAATATAATTGTTAAATAATTACTTGAGTAACTGTAAGTTTCTATCATAACTTAACTGGTTGTTTTGATTTAGGTTATAAGTTAATTTATTGTGATATACTCTATCCATTCAGTAAAGTTAACTAAATAACTTCAATAGTTTCAAGGTCGTTAAAAGCCAAAAACGTTAAAGCAAAAAAGTTGCTGGTTTCTATCAGTACAATTTTACTAATAGAAATTTTATTTAATAAAAACGAATTTATTATTTTATTATACTTAAAGTAGTGAAAATAGTTTTATAAAATTGTTTATAAAATAATAATTAAATTCATTATTAATAAGTTAATTTGGAACAACGTTTTTTTTAAAAAAAGATAAAAATGCTGTTTTGTTAAAAAAAAATAGAATGTAGAAAAAAATTCTCTTTAACTTTTGTCTTTTTAATTTGCTACTACGCAGAGATTTAAAGTTTAAATTAAAAAGTGCTTTACGTTGAATAAAAATCTATGCGCTTTAGAGCAAATGATCATGCTTTTATTCAAAAGACAAACTTTGTGTGACGTACTTTACTACGAAAACAATACTTTTTAAGAATTGCCAAAAAAAAAAGCTAAATTAGAAAAAAAAGTATATAAACAACTAAAAAAGTAAACTAATCGCGAAAATATATGTTTTAGGAAAAAACTAATTGCGAAAGTATAAAAAGCAACCGCGATTTGCGATCGCGCTTAATTCGAGCCCTGTATATATATATAAATATATACATATATATATATATATATATATATATATATATATATATATATATATATATATATATAACTTTCAGTTTCTCAAGCTTTCTGCACCCTGCCTGAAAACTTTCATCAACATCCCATTGGTCAGGAGGTAACTCCAAGAAGGTTTCATCAATTCTGAAAGATTTTTAAAATCCCAAGGATGCGGAAGAAGCAAGATCACTGAGGTTTATTATCGTTTCTTCTCCTTTTTTTGGAACCCACTTAATTCGATCTATATTCTTCTCCTTCTTCATTTCTCTAACAATATCCTCTTTTTCATCAGTAGACAACTTGTTGGAAAAAAGTGAAAAGCCAACAAGGTCACCACCTAGATACCATAGATGGCGTAGGAAAGTTGTTAAAGTGGCTTTTGCAATCTTCTCGTTCATATTGTTGCACATAATTCTCACGCCAGAAAATACAATGACAGTTGACACAGTTTGGCGTAATCATCACGTATACTCTTTCGAGCCAATCTAGACTGCATGGAGGTTATGGTAGTATCTTTCCAATCTTTATGCTCATCTATTCTCGGATCCTTGAAAGCACTTATTTCATCTTTTAAGATGAAGGACCATTGTTCGAAAATGTTTGAATAGCTGAATATCTAGTCCAGATGATGCAGCCATAACTGATTTGAAGACTGTAGCCAAAATCAGCTCCATAATGTGATGTCTGCATGCAAGATGCATCAGAGGTCGGCCCAATTGTACCTCTATTAATTGGCAACAACCATGGATCCCAGTGTCGGATGATGTTGTGTCAAAGGAAAGAGCTTTGATTCTTTCTTCGAGTTTCCACTCTCGAACAATCCTGACAGTTGCATTAGCCATGGCAGCTCCGGTACTCGATGATAACTTTGGTATTGCCAGAAGTTTCTCCTAGGCTTGAAACAAGAATTGGCAAACGATCCAGTTTTAAGCCATCTCCATTTCCTGTACAGTCTGGGAGCAACTTGTCGTGCCAATGTAATACTAAAAAGGTATCCCTATGTTGAATTTCATTAATGAAGGAATCCCTAACAGTGGCTGCTGCGATGGCCCTGCTATGTATCCTAGCACTTCAAACTAAGCTCCTGAAGATTGATCTGTTACTAAGAGGTGTTGCTGCTGAGGCATTCAAAATGTAAACAGCACGCTGGTCGGAAATGTTGCTACGGCCCAATGCACAAACCAACTCTGGAGTCATTTTCAATTTCTTGGAAGGAGTTGATCGCTTTGATCTCCGATTACAAATTTGAGGAGAGCCTTGTTCAGATGACTTGGAGTCTGAAGAGGATGGTGACGAGTCAACAAGTTGAATCTTTAAGCTTTTCCGTTTTTTTCTTCTAATTCTCTATTCACTCTTTCATCAGATTCTCTCGTGCTTGCATCTTTTCTTCTTTTTTTGCCAGCTCCTTATCTTCTGCCATTGCCATCTTTCTGACTGTTCTTTGGTCAATAAGGAGGTCCTTGTCTTCATTGATTGTGATAAGGGACATTGCATTCTTGTGAGATACATCAAAGAGTTGTGAAAGCTCACCTTTCAATACTGTCTCACTGGTTTTCGGCTGGTCAGTTTTTCTACCTCAATTTTTCTAAAGTTTTTTATACTTATCAAGAATTGTAACAAGTTTAGCAATGATTGCACAGGTCTCCATAACTGGAATATGTGCCTTTGTCCACAAGAACAGCACTTTGTCAATGACTTTCTTGCAATTCTCTTGACTGTTGGCTCCAAAGAAGAAGATACAATTTAGAACATCTTTTTTTGTTGGTAGAAATTGCTCACCAAAATTCTCTAATGATTGCCCAATCAAATATATTTCTGTAGGTATATTTATTGCAGCTGTAGCCATTTTATTTTACTTTATTTTATTTTAAACTATTTGACCTGCAATAAATTATGCAAACAAATTCTATTAAAATGAATGAAGAAATGTTAATTTAAAAAGTGAATTCAGTAATTAATAATTATAATATTACCAAATAAGGGTGATTAAAATTGTAATAATTATTCTAGAAGTATACTAAGTATAGTGCTGACATCTACTGAATAAGAAATTTCTACAATGTCTCTACAATGTCTCTATTGATAATAAAACACAATGATTAAACACAACAAAAAATACACAGTCAGCACAAAAACTCTAGTTTTTGAAAACTTTTTTGGCAAAACCATAATCTATTCTAAACTTTGATATGCTTGAGCATCCCCTAAATATGTTTTTTTCAACCTGAAACTTTGCATAGTTGATTTTTAGACCAAAAGGAAGTAATAAGTCCTTATTAATTTAAACAAAAAAAAAAAAATTACATGTTAAAATGGACCACCCTACCCTGTATATATATATATATATATATATATATATATATATATATATATATATATATTTATATATATAATGAATATTTTAAATGTAATAAAAACAAATTAAAAAAACAAAAACATACAACTTCTTTAGCTTGATGATTTTCTTTGAAATTCTAGAAGAAAAAAAATCTTAAACTTTTATTTAAATAACTACAATAATTAAGCATATAACATATTAATATTCACTACATATTAGAATTTAATATTAATTTATATTATTTTATTTGCTTGCATATAATCTTCTTGCTTCTTTCATATAATCTTAAAAATGTAGTTTAGAAGTAACTGAAAAGTGTTGTCCATCAAGAATAACTTTAACACTTTGAGTAGCAAGGAATGATTCAATAATTTTATGAACTCTCATAAAAGTAACAGTTTCACAGAAAGAAAAAAATAATGGTTAAAGTGAGGCTTAACATGAACTCCATCAGAAGGAATAAAAAGTTTCATGCCTGCTTGAGGATTATAAAGGAAGGCCATTTTTCATCAGAGAAATGTCAACCCACACACATTACAAAGAAAATTACGAAAGATACTTTAAATAAACCATCTAAAGCGTATCAATGCTTGTTAACATTTTAACATTTTATTAACCTTGGATAAATTGTTTCAACTTCTTTAATTACTTAAAACATTTAAAAATAAAATTAAACTAAATTTTATTTAAAAAATTGTTTAATATTTGCTTTATTTGAATTAAACAACTTGATGTGATAGTGGGGTAGTGGTAAAGCGTTCAAAAGCAAAAAGCTCTGAGTTCAATACCGAGTGCCAGGGAAATGCTGGAGACCATGTCCCTGGCACTCAGCTTGTTTCTACATGTAGCGGCATTGTTTGTCAAGAAAATGTATTCTCTACAAGTCATCATTGAGAAAATGCGTCAGAAAAAATAAGTGTATTAAAAGCTGCATACATTAACAGAAACAAGATAAACAACATCTATTTTAACTCAGATACGACAGAATATGAAAGAGATCTCATTAAACAGGTATATAGTGAAGTTAATTTGTTAAATGCTAGCCTAAATCAAAACAATGAATACTACTAAACTCTAAGAAATTTCAAAATTATATAACTTATAAAAAAACAGTATGTTTTGGAGTTAAAGAGTTGAGAGAGGGTTGTAACCACAATAAAGTAGTCTCCTTAACTGTAGTAGCTTTCTCTGCCTTGTGGAGGTGAACATAAAATTAAAAAAATAAAAATAAAAAATCAACTTAGACTTTACATAGATTTGAAAAAGCTAATTATCAAAATATTGTCACTTCTTCAAATTTCTTTTTACCTTTAGTTCAATAATTTCTTTTTTGAGTACGTCTTTTTCTTTTTCTAATTTGTTTAAATTATCAGCAGAATCTTGAGTAACCTGATAAAAAAAGTTGATACTATCAAAGTTTTAACCAACTAAACACCACAATTTAAAGCTAAAAACCAAAATGTTATATTGTTTAAAAAAAGCATTTAAAATTTAGAAAAACTTTAGCCTAGCTAAAGTTAAAAGCTAAAAATTTTAGCCTACCTTCATTAGTTTTTCTTGTAGCATTTTTATTCGCTCTTCTCCATCATAAGTCACTTTGTTTAACATATCTTGCAACTCAGATACTTTTGTCTTTGTATCTTCATTTACCTTAAAAACAAAAGTAAGATTAATCAATAACAGATCACAATATAATCATGTCATGTCACATGCTTTTTTTACTAATCACATGTCATGCTTTTGCTTTATTTAAATTAACTTAAACAAAAACACAAAAAGATGATATTAAAACCACAGTGATCAGACATTTTTATCATAACAAAATGAATGGAAACGTGGTTAATGATCGTTTGATTTATTACAAGTATGACTATTGACAAGCCTTTCCGGGAAGCGCATATGGTCGCACGCCTTATTTGTCCACATTTAAAGAAAATTTTTTAGACTAACTGACCACGGCAGTTCACATCTTTTAACTTATAAAGTGTTTTAATAATTCGATGCAAAAAGGTAAACATATTTACTAAGAAAAAAAAACAATTCTTAAATAATTGTAAGGAAATATCAAGTTTAATTACATAAACAAGAAAAGTTATTAATTAAAAAAAGTAAATAAAAAAAAAAAAAAAAATTATAAAATTTTTATATCCTTTTTTAATCAATAATTTTAATTAATAAAACTTTTGTATTCTTTTTTTTAGGGTTGTTGAAAAAAACATATTTTATAACAATTTTAAGTTTTGATATGCAATTTATTCACGATTTTTATCAGTCCATATAATTAAAAAACTAATTTGCTATGTACGCTAGAACTATAGCAATATTGTTAATTTTTTTTTCTTATGTTTATTCATTTATTACGTTTATTTGTTTTATGTCTGTTCGCTTTTAAAAAAGTTTTTGCTATATTTGACATTTTTTCTCAATACTTATATAAAGGAAAATAAGAAAATAAATTGTTATTTATTGTAAAAATATTATTTGATTAATAAATTTTGTTAATGATGGAAGTTAAATAAAAGAATAACATAGTTTCTAAAATAAATTTACCGCATTTGATACATGTATGAAATTGTTTCTTTAACATTGCCTAATTTCCAATGTCAATACGAGTTACAAGAAATAATGAACATAACAATTGCTCTGTTAAAAAAAATGTATTTTAAAACTTAAACAAAAATTTTAAATAGGCTCCTAAAAATTTTGTTAAAAAAGTTCAATAAATTAATGCCCTAAAAATAAGAAAACAAATACTGTAAATATTTAGGTAAATTATTTTTTTGATAACAATCTTCTTTTTTTTATTGCTGATTTATTCTCTAGTTTCTTATAGCTTTATTTTGCTGCGAATTCTTAAAATGTTTACTATATAAAAACATGGTCAAGTTGTCTGAAAAAATTACTTTAAGCGTGGAAGTACAAGGCGTGCGACTGCATGCCCTTTCTTGAGAAGGCTTGTATTAATGATTTAATTTGATATAAACTTAGTAACAGTTGAATTTGATAGACAATAATGGTTTAATGTTTTAATAAAGAATTATCAAATTGGTTAAAGAAAATTACCTTTGTTAACTTTTGTTGTAAATCGATAACACGAAGTTTAGAATCTTCTGAAAGCTAAAAAAGTCACAAATGTGAAAAATAACTTTTAAAACCAAACATTTACTACTATTATATAAAAAAAGAAAGAAAAAAAATAAACCTTTCTTTGGTCATTTAGTTCATCTTCTAAATGGACTATTTTATTGTTCAGTGCAAACCTTTCATTCTCAAGATAAGTAATTTTCTGCTGCTGTTGCTCATTAGAAATTCTAAATGAAAAAACCGGTGAAAAATAACTAAGTAAAAAAATAACCAATACAAGATAACAAGTAAAAGATATGAAAAATTAGAGCTAAAAACACTTTATAAATATTATAAGGTATATAATATTTTTGAAAGTTCTCATTTTTAAAATACCTAAGCTGTTCATCTCTTAGTTCTTCAGCTTTTTTGCTGCCATCTTTAATTTCTTGAAGTAATGCAAGTGCCTCGTTTTCAGCTTTTGCTCGATTTGTTCTTTCATTGTCTAATCTTCGCTGTAGGTCCTAAATTCACAAAGAAAAACAAAAATATATTTATTTTTTGCTTAAAATAATTCAAGTTGTATCATTTTTATAATAATATAATTATAAATTTAAAAACCTTTCTTTCAGTATCAAATAATGCTTTCTCGTTTTCTAACATATCTCTTTCACTTTCGAGTTTTGCAGCAATTTTTGATTTTTCATCAAGTAACTGTTTCAATTCTTTATTCTTTTTCTGCTCTTTCTCAAGATCGACTTTTATAGCAAGGACTTGCGAGTTAGATGCAGTTTCTTTAACTGATTCTCTTTTGGATGACATTCTTTTCAAAATTTCACGTGAAGGTGTATCTTTTAATGCGTCATGACTTAAATAATTTTTTATTAATTTTTTAAACACATGAATATTTTTAAATAATAATACAAAAACTTGACATTTAAAAATACAAAAAATAATAACATTCTTAAACATTAAAGCAACTTTAGTGCAAACTTCAACAAGTTTTTTAATATTAAGAACCTAAATATTTATGAAAATCTTTTTTTTTTTTCTTTCTATTCAAGGATCAATATCACACTTCAAAAAGTTGAATGATAGAACACAATTACTTAGTACTTGGTTATGCTTGAAAAAAGATTTTTCTTGTAGTAAGCAACTAAAAGTTGCTTTTGTTTTACAGCAAATAATAAACAAAATAAAGTATTGTGTAATATATTTAGTTCAAAATTAAAACAAACAAGAAGTTTCTCTAAAACTAATTCAAATAAATATCTTGGGATGGGAAAAGATTGGCTAGAATCTAAAGTTCCTACACTGAGAGATCAGGGTGTTAACCAGCCTGATGGCACCGCATATAACGCGGTATTCCCAATTGGTTTCAAATTCCCAAAGGTTCATAAGATCTCAGATTTTAAGTGTCGCGCTAGACAAGTAAAAAATGTGTCGTCATTAACAAGCGTCCATACAATAACATGATCATTCGTTCAAAAGTTTAAAAAAACTTTTTATTTTAATTTTTATTGACGTCAGTTAATCTTGAGTTAAGATTTTTTAAAGTTTAATTATATATTTTATTAATTTATTTTTATTATTCAAAAACTCTTTATTTATGTTTTTGCTGTTTATCTTAAGTTAGTAAAGTTACAAAGAAATTCGCATAATAATAAATATTATATTTTAAAATAAGTTAATAACGTTTTTGTAATAAAAGATTTATTAATACTCTCAGTAAAATAAATTAGCAGGTAAAGTAAATTGAAAATAACAATAAAAATAATCAAAAATAAAACTTGCAATGAAACGTATGTCTATGTTATATTTACATAAAACGCAAAAGAAGATAATTAAATAATATTATAATATTATTAATTATTAGCCAATATTTATAAATACAAAATTCTTTTTTTAATTTACAAATACAAACTTTATGTAGATATTTAATGAATGTAATGTAAATTGAAAAAATAATAATAATAATTTTGTATTTAAATACATTTTTTTTATTTAAATATCTAATTTACTAGATATTTAAAATACGCCAACTAAATTTAGTTGCTGTCCTCGTGCGGTGAAAGAATCTTGCTTTGCCCCCTATATGTCTTTGTTACTTATTTAAATTAAAGTAGCATATTGCAACAAAAGTTTTTTTAACAAACATTATATTTGATGGAAATCGGAGAGCCACCCAAGTTTTTCAATTAAAAGTTATTAAGATTTCGAAAACTTTCATTTAATTTTCATTTAAAAGCTGTTGATTTAAATAAGTTAAAAAAAAAACTGTTAAATTTATCTAATGATAAAAATTTGACATTTGCAAAAAAAGTTTTTTAAGTATTTTAAAATACTAAAGTATTTAAATAGTTATATAGTCAAATATATTTCTTCAGAACTAATTGTTCAAACCTTTTAAAACTGTATTAAATAAGCTAGTTTAGATGTCTACAAACGTTTTTGAGTACATATTTTTAAAGAGTTCTAAAAAAATTCATAAAAATTATTAGTTTCAAAAAGCGTTTTACAAAGAGTTTCTCCAAATATTTTTTTTTAATTACGTTTTTCTGGAAATACATAATAAGCCTATTAAGGCGTTTTGAAAAACGGCTATAGTATATCAAACAAAGAGGAGAAACAATTTAAAAATAAAAATTTTAGAAGATTGCCCATAATGAAACAAGCTAAATAATTAGCAAAAAAAGAACATTTATTTTGATTAAAATTTAATTATATCTAAAAAATGGAAGTATACTCACCTTTTTTTTTTAGCCGCACCTAAATTCCCAATTTCGCAAAAATGCAGTATAAATTTTTTCCAGGGTAACACCCTGGAGATGTACTAATAAAAGGTCTACTTGTTTGTTTTTTTTGCTTTTTTTTTCCAGACAATCCTGATAGGAGAATCTTCAATTTCTAACTGATGGAAAATCTTATAAATTTTAAACAAACAATTTTATAAAAGTTTATATTTTATGGTTTTAGAAGGATACGTCATCTAACTGTAAAAGAAATAGACAGGTTCAAGAAGAAAGTTTAAGAATCAGTGGGCATTATTTTAATTCAAGAAATCCATCTAAAAAATTTAATGCCAATGAAAAAAAATTCAACAATCAGCTCAAATAATTGGAATCAAAAAACTTTCTCATTTAATATCATTAAACAGAACTATTACATGCTTTTAAAAGGTCCAAAGAAACCTGCTAAAAAAGCTGCAACTAAGCTTAAGTTATTATTAACATGTTATAGCATTTAAAAGGTCATGGCATTTTTATTGTTTCCCTTGTTCTTTGCATAGAAAGCGATAATAAAAGAAAAAGAAAAAATAGTTTATTATTAAGTTTATTATTGAAAAAATTAAAACTGTTTAAATAAAAATATATTGTTGTACATATATTACTTTTTTTAATGTTTATTTTATAAAGATAAAATAGAAAATTTTTTGAATCATTTTAATGTAAATGATTAAATATTTTGATAACAAATTTTAACTTTTTAAACAATTTTCACTTTTCTCTAATAACTTTAAACAAGTTTGATGATATTTTTAATTGTTGATATTTAAATTAAGTGAACTTTTTAAATAACTGATCATTTGAATAAAAATGTTTTAAATCATTTTCATCATTTAAATAACTAAATTAATCTTTTAAAAAGACATCTTTTAAAAAAGGTTTTAAGAATTTTTTTAAATTTTTAACTTAAAACTTTTTTTATCTTTACAAACATATCTATGTTTTCTCTTTTGTATATAAAATATATAACATATTGGTCATGATGTTAAACTTAACCTATTCGGGGGCATATATAGAAATCTGTCCAAAACACAAAAGCCTGATGCACAATGCTAAACTTAAAAAATGTACATGTAAATGTTTTTCTAACCTTTCATTCTGAGAAGCAAGAGTTAATTCTTTTGTGAAAGTAAACCCAATAAATGGAAGATTTTTTCCTTGGAACCCTTGTTTCTTCTCCATAAAGTCACCAATTCTTGGACCACTACTTTCAGTTTCAAAATCATCAAAGTTTGACGTATCATCTTCTCTGTTAATATTTGGAACATATGGAGGAACAGCTATGAAAGTGACATAAAACAAAATTTCATGATATTTTAAAAATAAAATTAACATTTATATATATATATATATATATATATATATATATATATATATATATATATATATATATATATATATATATATATATATATATATATATATATATATATATATATATATATATATATATATATATATATATATATATATATATATATATATATTTATATATATATATATATATATATATATATATATATATATATATATATATATATATATATATAATTTATAAATGTATGTATATATAAGCATATTAAAAATTAATATTTAATACACCATTTAAGTATGCATTTTAAAATTAATCACATAATTTATCAATTCTTTATTCCATAAAAATTCAACAAGTGTAACACCACAAACTACAACCACTTATTCAGGGTGGCCAGTTAAAAATAAACTTAAAATTCCAGGATATTTCCAGGATTTTCAAGGATAATTTTGGATTATTCAAGGATTTATTTTCTCGACAATTAAATAACTAGTAAAAGCAAAATATACTTTCTTAGAACAAAATATATATAAATATATTTATACATAAGTATGTTTTGATATAAACTATTTTATTTCATATTTTTTTTAGATTGCTCAAGTTTTTTTAATGAAAGGTCAATGTCTTGAATTGCTTGTTCTTTTTCTAAAATTGTGCTTCTAAAAGAATTTGCTTTTGCAAGAACAGTAAAGTCTCTCTTTGCTTCTGCTTCGATGCTTAACTTATCAGCATCAGATTTAAGAATTTCAATGCACTTTGCAACACTTTTATTTTGTTTTTTCATTACTAAAATATCTCCATCAATCAATTGGCGTTTCCTGCTTAATTCATCTACCTTTAATTGATCTTTGTTTTCTTTCAATACTATATTGTAACGATTGTATGCTAACTTACAACTTTTTAAAAGATCACTAGGGAGCTCATACTGATGTATGACAATGTCATGAGAATTAATGTGGTCATAAACTATTCTTTGAAAAATAAGAGATCTCTCTTGCAGATTTTCAACCAACAATTGTTTATTAACACTGAACCCTCGTTCTATTGCACATTGGCCGTGAGATAACACAAAAACGATAACACAGACTTTCCACAGTGCTGAATACCTCAGAATTTTATGCAAATAAACAGCAAAAAATTTATCAACAGAATCAGTTAACTCGTTGAAGGAATCAAATTTTTCGTTAAATTGAACACATTCTGCACTAACAAATTCATCATATTGTTGCTTTGCATCATCTGCATTGTCATATGATAACCATTTTAATGCACTCAATCTTTCAGCAAGAGCCTTGAATTTAAGAATGGATATTTCCTTGTTTTTAACCATTTCACTTGGAGACAAAGATGAAGCATTCCTCACTAAAGAATATTTCAAGGGGGATCTTTCTTGTAATTTTTGCAATAACGCTACAATAATCTGCTTACATTCTATTATAAATTCTAATTTCTCTTCTGGTTTACAATGAAGAGAACTTAGCATCTGTTTTAGTGCTGTTCCGATATCAATTTTGTTTGCATCTAGTTGGTTATTGGATTTACCTACTTCAATCTTTGTTAAACTATATGCAGTTGCAGCTTCTTTTAAAATGTTTGGTTTGAGAATCATTTTCATCAAACTTCTCAATATACTTTCTAAACTATTAGATAAAAATGCAACCACAGGTCTGTCTGTTTGAAATAGCACTAGAAACCCTTTCAATTTTTTAGCCAGATCTTTGAAAAACTGCATACGCAAAGGTACTTGTGTAGATGATGATCTACCAGAACCTCGTAGCTCTTATTTTTAGGACGTTTGCTTTTGCATAATGATTCCCAATACTTTATAATTTTAACCATGTTTGGCCATACAACAATGCCTCTAGAAGCCACACCTTCATCTTCTACCCAGCGAGTTGCACAGAAACTGTAAAACAATAAAATCCAAAAATTTAAAGGCTGAAATGCTCTTAACTTATATATAAATAAAAAAAGATATAATGAACTATAATAAATTTTTTTCTTCTTAAACATGCATACTTACAGTAAAGCAAGCAGATCTGTTTCACAAACTCTAATATATTCATCTATTTTAGCTGGTGACTCTTTGAAAAGATTATACATTGCACGAAATATTTTTCCAACTCCCATTTTTGGGAGTTTATTGCTGTCTGTAGGGCATCATGAACAATATGCAAGCTGCAACTGCCCATATTAACAATGTCAGAATATCGTTTTTCCTGTCTATGCTCATTTAACATTTTAAGAACCTCCCAATTAACATTAGGACCATCCATTGAAACTTGAATAAGTTTTCCAAGATCAAACATCTCTGTTGCTTCAATGAGTTTGTCAAATAAATCCTGTGCATTAGGGCGTCTGAGGAATTTCGAATCAATATATCTAACTTTTACAACACCTGAATTTGAATCCCAGTATCTAACTCCACAGTCCATTTGTTCATTTTTAAAGGTTACATTCATACTTTATCATATGACAAAACAAAGATTGGCGATGCTCTGACTTCAGATATAAGTTGGTCTTGATAGTATGGCGCCAAACCAAAATTAATGAGGTAACCACATTTTGTTTTGCCTAATGCAAACTTTGATGCAATTTTACTGTCAGAAAACATAAATTTAAATATTTCATTTAAATTTAAGCATGATCTTAAGGAAAAATGTGACATTACAACATTTAATGTCCATATTATTTCTGCCTTAGTAACCAAAGCTGGAGATTGAAGATCCTCTATAGTAGGCTGTGTAACTTTGTCATTTAAAACTTTGTTTGAATGAGGAGAAAGTTCTTGAAAATTATTGGAAGCTGCTTTATCACCAGATATTTCTGTAGTAAAATCTAAAAGTGAAACATGAAAATATATATCCTGTAAAGTGCGCAGCTAATCAACTTGCTCCAAGCTTTTCAAAATTAAAAAATTAAATTAATTAAATATAATATAATTCTTTATAATATATTTAAATATAAATATAAATAACTAAAAAATAACCTGTAAAAAATATATCAGCTGCATTATGTGTTCTTGCATGCTCTTTATGCTTCTTACCAGTTGCATGTGAATCTAACGCAGATACTCCCATGTTAGAAATATTAATATCTGTTTGACACCAATTACATCTTGCTTTCTTTGAATTTAAAGAACAAAATTTTATCCAAGAAGAATACTTTTTATTGTATAGCCATTCTGTTTGGAAACGGCAGTTCTTTGTTTTAGGCATTATATTAGTGATATATATATATATATTAATTGTGTATTATATTTTCTAAATAATTAGTAGATATTATTAAGATATTATTACCATGGAGAAAGTAATATTATTTAAAATATTTATATATATTTTTGAATATTCTAGAAAATACATAATCGAAAATAAAAAGATAAAAACATCAAAACAAAATATTGAAATCTTTCAAAAAAGGTTCCAGGATTTCAAGGATTTTTTGTAAAAAAGAGTGTTTTTCCAGGACCTTTAAAATTCCAGGACTTTTCCAGGATTTCAAGGACCGCTGGCCACCCTGTTATTTGTGTAACGTATATTTGTATTAAGTGAATAAACAATAAAATAAGCTAAAAAATAAAAGCATTATGATTGTGATTTTATGCATGAAAAATGCAAAGAGTGTCAGTAATATCAACAAGCAATAATAATAAGTAACTCAAAATAATATTAATATAAAATGAAGTCAGTTAATAAAGATCCTACTCTAAGTGATCTTCTGATTTATTTTCATATGCAAATAATGTATAATAGATATTACATGCATTTAATAGTCGCGACATACCAAAAAGCCAATAAATGGCTGAAAATATTGGCTTTTTGGTATGTCTCGGCTTCAACCTCAGCAGAACGACTCCAAAATTTTGGAGTCGTTCTGCTGAAGTTGAAGCCTTGATATTTATACAGCTAAAGTTTGTTTTTTCATATCTAACTTTAATACTAAATGTTAACAAACAATATATCTATATATAAGTATATAGTATACATTACAATGTGCAAACACATTTTAATGCGCAACGATTTTTATCACCATTTGAATCATCAGGCTATTATTAAAATCCCATTGCAAAGTTATAGGCCTTTAGGCTGTAGTTTTGCCTTGTGGGTATTATTTCTTTTATTAAAAAAAGTACAAATGTCATAAAATAAGAAAACTTTATACAAAGAAATAATGAGGAAGCAGTTATTTTTTGTATGTTGGTAGTTATTTTTTATGTTGGTAGTTAGAAATCACCAGTTAATAATTAATTTAGTACTTAAATTACTAATAAGCAATTGGTTACTAATAAGGTAAATAATATTAAGTGTAAGGTAAAGACTCCAAATTTAACTCCACAGTCCTGAATGTATGACTCAAACAATGATTTTTAGTCTACTTTATAGTACATTCAAACAATGTTACATTGAACAAATTCAAAAAAAACCTAAATGTTAAATAACTTGCATATATTGAATTTTCTAATTTGAATGTTGAATCTGTTGAACTTTACATTAGGACATTACTTAATAAATGACTACTTTTCAATGAAATTAAATGCCACATTGGTATCCTTTAAACTGTCTAACAAAAAACAAGGTAATGATATTTAGGACACACAAGGTAATGCTAATGATAAGTGATGTTAGTTTTTTTTTATCAATTTTTTTTTATCTGAAACATCATTGTTGAATCTACTGAAAATAAGTTTCACCTACATTAGTCCAATACTTAATTCTAAATGGATTTTACAGCACAAATATATCTTACATATAAATATATACTTATATATATATATATATATAAATATATACTTAAACATTTATTTACTTAAACACATGACATTCATCTTAACTTCATAAGCATCATTTGATTTTAGTTTTATAGTGATAGCAAATTTTCCAACTTAGCATAGTTGGATAAGTTGTTGGGCTGGTATTCTGTTTGCATGAGGTTCAAATCCATTTGAGTAACATTTACATTTTTTTTTTCTTAGCTTTAGTCCTAATAGTTTGATATCATAACTATTACCTATGCTTATACTATAGGTTGATTGTTTGATTATATTTGATATTTTCTTACTGATATAGAACATTATTCCCACACTTTTCTCTTTGAGATCTTTTGTGTCCAATTTTATGACTCTTGTGTATTACTTAGATGTTTTTTTTTTAGATTTTCTTTGTGTCTATACATCCCCAATTATGATCCACCATGTGTAAGAAATTAAAGGCATACGACCATTCTAAACCTATATATCCTTATAGATATCCTTCTAAACTTCAAACAATTTAATAGGAAACCGAAATTCAATTTTTATAATATTTAATACGCATCATGTTCATAAATACATTTTTATCATTTTTTCCATAAGTTCAACATAAATATGTTCAAGATATCAATGAAAAAAAAAGTATAAATGAATGCCTACAAATTTATAAAGTATTATATAATTAGAATGAAATTTTTTTATCCTTATTTAAGCATTTTTCCTACTTTAAATTTCTTATTCTATTTTATTTCAGTTTTCTATATTTAATCCCTGTTTCATTGTATATTTTTTATTATATTCTAATTTAAAATGTTTATTGTTTACTTTTTTTTAACATAGGAAAAAAGAAAGCAAAGATTTAAGGTATAAAATGTGAAAATGTGACAATTTTTATGATATCACTCTCATAATCATATTATTAAATATATCAATATTATTTGTCTTCTTATATAAATTTCAAGTTTTTGTTTTTCAATTTTTAACCTTAAGCAGAACCTAACATTTTTTTACATTTCAGCTACATACAAATTACACAACTTTATGTATATTATCTTTTATCTTAAAAATTATTGTATTGTTTGCAAAAATAAATTTTAATCATTCATTAAAGACTACCATTAAAAAAACGAAGCAAAAGAAATATAATCTGTTAGTCATATAATATTTATAACACATATTGAAGCATAGTTCAGGAAGATGGTCCTGTTATAACTAATTGAAACCTATTTTTTTATTGGACACTAGGCTGCTCTTCTCTAATACCTCATTACATTCAAAAACATGTTTATCTATGTACTAAACAACAATAGTAATACAGTAGAATCCCATTAACTTGAACTCTGAACGGGTATATATATTTTGTTTGACTAAGCAAACGTTCTAGTTAGGAGAAGCTTTTGGTATGTATAGAGAATTCAAGGGGAATTGAAAATTTGTCCAACTTAGTAAAAGTCCAACTAATCTAGTGTCCGAGTTAACGGGATTCTACTGTATAACCAACTCTTGGAATTAGGAAAAATGAAGTCGGCAATAATTTGCCAACCTCAATCTTTTAGAGGTCGGCATCAGGTTAGCAAAAAAAAATTTGAAAAAAGGTCTTACCATGAAACATAAGGCAAGGTTAGCAAATAGTTGCCGACCTCAAAGACTTAAAGGTTGGCAGTTAGGTCAGTATTGCCAAATGCCGACTATAATTCCAAGGGTTGTATAAGCCTAAACTAAAAATTTCATTTGATAAAAAGTTAAGGTTTGATGTTTCAAGTAATTTCAATAAGTAAACCTTAAATTACTTGTCTCATATTTATTAATTAAGAACAATAAAAAAAATCACAAATAAAATAAAATTATTAAACAGTCAATAGTATTAAATAGATTTAATAACAAATAAAAATTTTAAATTTTTATGATCTATAAATTTTTTTTGTCGTTTAACTTATGATTTTATATCTTTTCTGTTCTAAAGTTAATTACCATCTTGTAATGTTGTCCAGTCCAGTCCCTGGAAAAATGGATGCATTGCTAAGTCTGTGTAACCTATTCGATTTTTTTGATCTGTAAGCAAGGATCGTATTAAATGTTTAGCATTATCTGTAAGTGGTTGATCATCAGGAAATTCCAAAGACTTCTGAAAAAACATAAAAAAATCAAAGCTATTTTTTGAAGGAAACTTTTTTTAATTTTAAAATTGAATATTTTTAAAAAACCTTGAAGTTCATAATCTGGCTATAAACAACAACAACAGAATCTGCACTAAAAGGTGTGTTTCCAATCATCATCTCATAAGCAACAACACCAAGTGACCACCAATCACATTCAATGCCATACTTGCCACCACCACCAGAACCATCCATACTCATTAATACTTCTGGTGCAATATACTCAGGGGTTCCAACTGGCATTTTACTGAAAACCTATCATTTTAGAAAACCAAAAAACTTTAAACTACATGTTGAGAACTTTCCAATCAAATTATGGAAAATATAATGAGTAAAATAACAAAATGTAAAAAAAAATAACACCTGTTGTTAAAAACAACTATTATTCTCTAGTAAATAATTGATAAATATATAAAAAATATATATTAAAAATATATATATATTGCTTAATAGATTTAGTCTATGCACAGTGGGCCAAACAGCGGACATAGCTCAAAAATCAATGTTACCAAAATAAGTTTAAGTTAGTTGTTATCGAAAGCCAAATAAAATTTCCAGTTCATTAAAAAAAAAACTAATTCAAAAGCATGATTTGTTCAAAAGATAGGTAATAGGTATAAGTTGCAAAAGATAGGTAATACATAAAAGTTATTTTTGGAATTATATAAGAAAAAATGTCACTATATAAGCAGTGCCAATGTGATATTTGTATGTAGAAACAATTTTAGACTGCAATTTATGGTAATATGAATGTTAACTTCATAGATTATTGCACACAATTTTTTTTACATTTTATATCTAATAAAACAACTAAAATTTAGCAAAATTTTAGTGTTTTTTAACTATTATTTTTATTCAGAAAAAATAATTTATTTCAAAAAGTTGGCACTAGTAAACCCTATATTTTTAAACTCCGATAACAAAGAGAAATAAGATATTAAAATATATTAATGCAAATAATTTTACATTATTTTGCACATTTTTTTAAAAGGGGAAGATGTGTTCAGTAAAAGTTTATGTCTAAAAATTCAAAAAAAGGATAAAGACCAATTTATGACCTCCATCCCTTCCCCCCCTAGCCCTCTTTTTAATTGAACTTTTTTTTGACCAAATTTAATCTAGTTAGTAAAATCATTAATTAAAAAAATATTGCAGCATTGAAATCTGTTTTAAAATGAACGAATTGCTAGAGTTAAAATCAAAACTGAGAACTTTGTGGTGAACATGGTAATAATATAATATTTTTACGTATCACATAAACTTGTTTATATTTTGAATTATATTATTTTAAGTTTAAATCATTTTGTTTAAAAAGTTATTAAATAATGAATCATCAAAAATATTTATATCTTTAGTTTAATAACAATGAAGCTCACTGAATTTGACTTATTTGAAATTTTTATTGGTGAAGAAAATAAACTATAAAATAAACGACCAAAAACTATTTCTGCAAATATAACAGGTTGTATACTGATAATTGCTAAGGCACTTGGCTCCGATGAATTGGCATTTGCACAAAAAACATTAGTTCACAAAAAACAGTTTGTGCTCTTAATAGAAATTCATATACAAACCAAAAAAAAAATTCTTTTAACTGCTGGTTTTAATATATTATCTAGTTGAAAACATCTCAGAAAAAAACAATCTAAAGTAACTGAAGTAAGTAAGTAGATTATTATGAATTATCTTGAACTTTGAAATTATCTTTGATGCAAAAGGACATAGGAGAATATTTTTTAGATATAAAAATTGAAAATATTATAATGACATTTATTTTCTTTGGATTTGATGGTAGTGGAAGCCATGTAATATTTAATTAAAAACATAATGTTAACACTAGCAATATCATACTGACAATTTTCTATCCATTTTTACTTGAAAAAGAAACAGGTTAGTTAATATGGTTGCAAAAGTTACAATATGTTCCACTGAGTCACAAAGCGCTGAGTCTTCAAATAATAAAAGAATCAATAGAAACTTTTCAATCATTGTCTGTTTTTAATTCTGACATAGAAGTAAAAAAATAAAGGTTTCCTTATGTATAAAAAGGGCAACAATTTAATGTAAAGGTGATATGCAGTCATATATGATGGGTATGAAAGCATCAAATCTTTTTTCAGGAGTTGGAGGTGCATATTGCAGGCCTTGTTTAAAAGCGTTAAGAATAGAGCAATTTACATACGCCTTAAGCAATTTTTACGTAAAAAGTAAGCGATTTCAGTTAAGCGACTTTTTATCACTTTTTAACTTTTAAATTATACTATAAACATTAAGATGAAATAAGTAATTAATTCTAAAAAAAAAGTCACATTACCTTTTGAATGACGTTTATGTAAAAATATATTTGTTACAAAAGTTTGAATGACAATTATGTTTGATTATAGCGCTATTTAAATAATAAATTTGAATAAATTTAAATAATAAATTTAAATAATAAATTTAAATAATAAATTTAAATAATAAATTTAAATAAATTTAGATAATAAATTTAAACATTTTTTTTTTTTTTTCAGTTTTTAAAAAAACTCAAATAAAAAAGTTCATTTTTATTTTGTTTTTATTTTATTGGGATGATTGATTTTTTTATGCTTGAAGCAAAGATATAAAAAAATAATTTAATTCTTATAAAAAAATATATGATTTTATTTAAAACTAATTTAATGGAAATATAAAATTTTATCCTGATAAAAACAAAATATAATTTAATTTAGATTCAAAAAATATATTTAAGTTTATTAAAATTAAAGGTAATACTTGGGTTTAACTTAACTTTTAAGGGGTAAACAGATTCTATCTGTTGACCAGCCTCGCACCCCTTCTTCATCTATTAGGCTGGCGCAGATGTATTTTTAATACATTGTTGACAGTTTAGGATGTTGAACGCTGGATCTTCTTGACTCATTTCATGGGTTTTGCTTGTGTCTCTGTTTTTATGACTTGGCAACTCATTCTATTATCTCCAAATGAGGGTACAGCTCTAAAACTAAGTTTTATGGTTCTGAGGCCGGTTGGTAGACAGGTTTTCCGAACTCTGTGGTAGCTCTTAGATAGGCTGATTCCATCAACACCTGAAAAATATCAGAGTACTAACAGTGCCATGTTGCGCATGGATGGTGTCCCTGTTTGTACTTTTGGTGTGCATTGCCAAGGCCACATTGGAGCCCTTTGTTATGGCTTAGGGTTTATTAGTGGAAATGAGGCAATTGCTTGAGCTATAAAACAGCGTACTGAGTACTATCTATGTTTCGAGTCAAGTTCTTTAACAAATTTAAAAATGAATAAAGTAACAAAAACTAAAAAAACACAAAAAACCACAGTCATCACCAAGTTCGCTAAACCTATCATTCACCAAAATTCGTGGTCTTCGAAGTAACTTTTCTTCTGTTGAGTCTTGCAAAGTTCACCAGACCTACTTGCTCTTTGTGAGACTAATTTGAGTTCAGATGTCTCATCTTGTGATCTTAGTGTTAATGGTTATCTTCCTTTAATTCGTAAATACTCCAATAGTCACATGCTTGGCCTTTCTAATTATATTGACCAAGCCCTCATTCTTTATCCATCAGCCAATATTGTTGTTGTCGGTGACTTTAATGTTCATCACACTGAATGTCTTGGCTCTAGTGTCAGTGACTCTGCAGGCATTAAGGCCCACAACTTTTGTCTTTCTCAATCCCTAACTCAAATAGTCAACTTTCCAACTCGCTTTCCAGACAACCCGAATCATTAACCTTCTCTACTCGACTTATGTCTTGTTTCTGATCCTAGTCAGTGCTCAGTTTCTTCACAATCACCCTTAGGTGCTTCTGATCATGGTTTGGTCTCTCTAAAGCTATTATCTCATTCTTCTTTACATCATCATACATCTTACAACTATCATCGTACATCTTACAACTACCTTAAAGCTGACTGGGACTCTTTCCGTGATTTTCTTTGTGATAGCCCCTGGGTAGAAATCTTTCATCTCCCTGTTGACAAATGTGCTTCTTACATAACTTCGTGGATTCAGGCTGGAATGGAATCCTTTATTCCCTCTCGACGGGAATAAAGGATTCCATGCCAGGTCAAGCCTCACTCTTCTCCATGGTTTTCCTCACATTGTGCTGCTGCAATTGCAAATCTAAACCATTACTTCCATATCTATCAGCAAAACAATTCTCCAGAAAACAGACGTCTGTTTATTACTGCTAGGAACCATTGTAAATGGTTTTGTTTAACGCCAAAGCCGCTATTCTCAGATCATGAAATCTCATATTTCATCACAAAAATTAGGCTCTTGTGACTTCTGGAGAATCTTTAATAGTATCAATAATAAGGGCAAATCTATAATTCCACCTCTTTTGTATGGTTCAGACTTTGTCACCTCACCTAAAGACAAAGCTGAATTGTTTGTCAAGAACTTTTCATCAATATCATCTCTTAATGCCACTAGTTGCATTCTACCTGATATAGCCATCAAACAGGTTGATCCATTGCTCGACATTCGTATCACTCCAGCTTCCGTATCTAAAGTGATTTCCCGCTTAAACTCTTCTACAGCTTGCGGCCCGGACAACATACCTGTTATAGTCTTGCAGAAGTGTTCTCCGGAGGTGTCATCTATCTTTTCAAAACTATTTAACAAGTGCTTATCAGAGTCTTGTTTTCCAGCCTGCTGGAAAGCAGCATCTGTTATCCCTATTTTTAAAAATTCTGGAGAGCGATCTGATTTGTCTAACTACCGTCCCATTAGTCTTCTTCCTATCATAAGCAAGGTTTTGTTAATTAAAGCAAATCTTTAATTAACAAACACTTAATCTCTCATCTCAAATCTCATAACCTACTTTCTGATCATCGATATGGATTTCGATCTTCTTATTCTATGGCTGATTTGCTATCAGTAATAACCGATATATTTTATCGCGCATTAGATAAAGGTGGAGAGGTTAAGGCCATTGCTCTTGACATTTCTAAAGCGTTTGATGAAGTTTGGCATGCTGGTCTCCTCCATAAGCTTTCTTCTTACAGTGTATCTGGAAACATCTTTAAGATTATTGAATCCTTTCTTTCCAATCGAAGTATAAAAGTTGTCCTTGATGGACAGCACTCTTCTTATTCTGTAACCTCAGGGGTTCTTCAAGGTTCAATCCTTGGCCCTATACTCTTTTTAATTTACATTAACGATCTTCCAGATATTCTCACATCTAAGGTGGCATTGTTCGCTGATGATACTACCGTTTATTCTTGTCACAATAAGAAGCCAACTCCCTCTGCTTGCA